GTGTGTATCTGAATGTTTTCCTGTGTGTGTGAGCCCTGTGTGTGTGAGCCCATGTGTGTATCTGAATGTTTTCCTGTGTGTCATGTTGTATTGTTTCCACTTTGCCCTGAGGGGGAGGGGCACACTGAGTGTACATGTGTGTGTGTGTTAGCGTGTCTGCGATGGGGAAGTTTGACCCCACTTGATACCAGGATTGACCTGTGGCCTCACTAGGTCCCCGAGCCTGGGAACACACTGCTGTTTACACTCTAACCTTGTCCAAGCTGGGTTATGTCACTTCACTACCAACTGTTGCAAGGCCCTAAAGGCTAAGGGGTGTAAGTACCCTAAGGGGTGGAGTAATATTCTTAATTCTTGAATTCCAGATGTGGTAGCAGGATCGAACTACCAGTCCTGTTCTGGTGTAGGTTTGCTGCAATGCTACATGCATCTTAAGGTATTAATCTGCTAAGGGAGTTATCATAGAGTCATTGAAAGTCTCCCTGACAACTGTACAAACTCCTTCTGCAACTGAAATTAAGCTGCATTACAGTAGCATAGACTAATTTAAAGTTTTTAAATGACCCTTCCACAAAAAGAAATGTTCAATATCCTTCATCCTTCATCCTCCATTATTCCAAGCAGAGAAATTACTGTATTTCTCTTGAAAAGTGAGAATCTCATATGCCTCTTTTTGATTGGTCATCATATGAATGATTTATTTTTGACAGCGATTTTAATCTTAAATCATTTTCCAGAGCTTTTCATGCACATATTATATCTTCCATGGTATTTACAGTCACTTATAAAGACCATGAGAGTAAAATCTTTTAAGAGCATTTAAAGTTAAGATTACTTTGTCAAACTAACTATAACTATGTCATAAACTATGACTTAAGGTCATAAATTAACTTTTACCTTATCTTGGATTTTAATCTTGCCATCAGCCTCACTCTTGGCTTAATCTGAGTTAAATATAAATAATAATTACAACAAAGACGGGGGCTGTTTGGCTAGGCTGAGCCCCATTTCATCCACACTACTAAACACAATATTAGCCAGGAGCAGCCTTTAGTTTAAGCAGGGCCATCATGGTTCCTTTCCCGGTTCTCTACCTCTCCTCCTGGGGCAACTGCAGCACCCACTGGTCAAACTGGCTGGTTGGATCGTCTCAAGGCCTGAGGCTCTTTAATCCAAAGCAGGCTGCAGCGTTGCCATATTCAAAATCTCCAGGTCCAGTCGATTTTATAAATTTTGGCTCAGCCCCTTAAACGCTGAAACTTTACTCACCTTCATAAACCAACATGAAACTTGGAGAAGAAGAGAGAAAACTGGCCCTTGATGATATGTTATAGTAACTAACTTAAACAGTTCTATGAAAATGTAACCTCGCTCAAATGAGCGTAAATCATTTTTCTAAAAATAGAAGTGATTGTTTACCTTCTAATGATCTCTTATTCTTTTTATTTACCACTGCATTGTTCATGGCTTTTTACAATAATCAGTGACTCCCTAATAACAAAGACAGTATTTAACACGCTGTACAGTATCGGACTATAGTCTTACTCATGCTACATTAAGGCTGCACTTTAACCGGAAGCTAACGTCCATACAGTGTGTTCTGCTCAGACAGAGGGAGCACGCAGCACCAGCCTGGACCCAGGCCAGGCGCTGTGACATCGATCAAGTGGAGGTTTAGGATGAGAGTGTTCTGTCAGGCCGGGTTTTAAACACACCAGCGTGGCAGCGAGACGCTGCCTCCTTTTTTAGCTCGAGACCGAGACCAGGTCAGCTCACAGATGCGGTTGCTGGCAGCCGAGAAGCATCCAGGCATGTAAATCATCGTAAGATCGGTGCAGGAAAACATACACACACACTCAAATATGCAGTCAGTCACAGTACAGTAGATCCTGTTATGATCTGTGCACAAACACTACCAACTCATCAGGAAACACAAATAGTACACACACGAGCACCTTGACTCTCAACTTTTTAACTGCTCTTTATTTATAAACTTTATTTTTTCATTTTTTTATTACCACTAATTACACTATTTATATTTCATTTTAGGAGCCAAGATTAGTTACTGTTAGTATGCCTGTCAACCTCTCTGCCCAGCACATATGCATTTTACTAGGGATGCACCCATATATCAGCCGAACATCGGTACATTCGCCTTGCTGGTTGACATCAGACCATCAAGAGAAATAGACTGAACTTCTACAAGGCAGAGATTTTGCTGGTTCAAATTACAAATGTTTCTACCACATTTTATCAGCTGTAGAAGCTAACTAACATTTACTCCACGAGCTGAAAGAAGGTCGTAAAAGGGTCTTAAATGTGATATAGTGTTGAAAGACTGAGGCTAAAGCTGACAATCCTTGTAGAAGACATGGACATAAAAAGACAGCACTGTCCTGGTACTGCAGCCTAGAGCTAGTTTGTGCTAGCATTAAAGTAAGATAAGGAAAATGTGAGATCAAACTGTTATTTTGTTCTAATGTAATGCTGTTTGGCTGCTTAGCTTACAAACCTCAAACGTCATTCTTTACTTTGTATTTTCAAACCGTATGTTTAACTTTTAATGTTACAAGAGAACAAGGCTTTTTGGATGGATCTTAACTGATGTGTTTACCAAAGTAATGCTGTCACAGGTCCTGTTGTCCTTTCTATAATAGGCTCCATTCTGGTTGTATAGATTCATTATTGATACTTTTATTTTCCCTTGTCAAGAAGATTGTAGAAGAGGCTATATTATACACATACTACTATTTTAATTAAAAATGTATTAGTTATCAGTGTATCAGTTTTCTAAATTTCATACAACCCTGTCTGCACCACTGTGACCTTTCAAGGGGTCCTGACCCCATTGTGAGCTTCTCTTCTTAATACGGATCCCCGTAAGTCTAGAAATACATGTACCCAAGTGGCCCACCCACTGCACAAAATTACGTTCACGCTCGAGTTATGAAACTGAGAACTCGGTCTATCGTCAGAGCGTTTGCTTTAAGATTACATAATGTCACTATAAGTTGTCACAACTCATTAACCTCATAGCCTCCTGGCTCCTAGGAACACTTGGCTCTGTTTTACTCTGTGTCATAACAGTGTCGTCGAGGTCCTGCACACATTTCAACACCGCCCCCCCCGGCCCATGTGTGCAGAGGAGGCTGTGTTTTTGGACTGAAGCAGGAGATGGGGCTGAACCATTGACAATAGTTTGTGTGATTGTCTAAAATTTCCTGCTGGCTCGAGGAAAATGCAGCAGTTCCTGTTGGGAGCTCCCTAAAACCGCTGATACTGAAAGAAATCAATAAAGAAACTGATCATTAGATTGTCCTCGCATTAAGTTTACTGTAGCTGTATTATTACTTCAAGCAGCTATTGAATTGAAATGAAACTCTGACATTTACCAAATTATAGGAACTTAATATTTAGCAAAACAGTCCCTGCTTAAAATCCACTGACCAGCATTTTTCAAAGCTTTCAACTCTATGAAACTGTCTTCATCAGTGAACGGAGCTGTCACAGAGACGTGTCTGTTGGCATCACATCAGAATCACAATTGGTTTTACAGCCAAGCAGGTTTTCATGTACAGTACAAGGAATTAGCTTTGGTATTTTGGTGCTTAAGTAGATAAAGTGAAAAAAATAATGCACTGGAGTTGCTCTCCTCATGTTCAAGAGCTCTTATCTGGTGAAAGAGATGAAGAACATTTACTTTATTAATCACCAGTGCGGAAATCATTTTTCATGTGTTAGCAGGAGCTGGCAAATCAGAGCTCCTACTGCTGCTCTGTGGGTTGGATTTTATTTACATTTTTAGATGCCACGCTGATTACACGTCTTTAAATTAAAGAGAACTGTCTTGAAAATAAAGCAGTCACTAAATGTTGATTTTTTTTATTGATTAAAATTGAAAATAGGGATTCAATTCTGAAATTAAATGACTTATTAATAGACAGAAAAAGTGTATTTTATTTTAAATTTATTTTTTAGACTTACTTTTTCCCTTTAAGTTTTATAATGCATTAAATGCTCATTTAATTACCGGCACTCAAGTTATAATAGCTTTTTGAGATTGATAAATAAAGATAAAAAATAAGACAATTCTTTATTATCCCACAAAGGGGAAATTCAGTTTGTTACAGCAGCAAGGGTTAGTGCAAAGTCAAATTCATGAATTGATTGTATTTAAACAGGATGTAAGTCTATAATAATTCCTTTGGCACAGTCGAGCCTCCATACTTAAAAGTTAATATAAAGGAAAATCTGCATATTTTAATGCTTTTTTGCAACTCTAGTAGACTTCTGGCTCTATTGCTTCATAATGACCATCAACATGAGGTCATCATTTACCAAAGCCTTACAACATGGCATAAATCCTAACATCTAATCTGTAACGTATCTGGAAGGGGATTTAAAGCATTTTAAAAGGCTTAGCTGTCCTTTTGGTATCATCGCTGCCTCGGCGGACTACTTTGAGGCTGAGTCCTGCCACTGCGGTGATAAATTTCTAATTCGAGCCCAGGCCTGAATATTCAATAAACTTAACCCTGTCCACTGTAAACAAATACCTTCTGAAGAGCCCCCAAATTTGGCCGAGCTGTGTATGAGAGGACTCAGGCTGGTATGTACTGTGTATACAGGTTCTGCTGTATGTGTGTGTGTGTGTGTGTGTGTGTGTGTGTGTCTGTGTTTGAATGTATCACAGGGATATGAAGGAGGTCATCGTCTCTACTTCCTCCAAAGTATCTGAGCAGGTCTCTTTTCTCTTGCAGGCGACTGGGAGTGCTACCCACATGACCCCACTGTATGGCATGTAAGTCGCTGGTTTTTATTTGTTTATCGAATGTTTTTTTTCTATTCCACTACAGCGTTTTCAGTTCAGTATGAATTGGTTTGTCAGGCTTTATGTGTATGTTCCTGTTGCGCTGTAAGGTGCTCATTGCTATGTCAGTGTGTACTGAACTTTAATTTGCGTCTCCTGTTGATGAACTTGTCTTTCTGCTTTTGTCTTTGGCTATAGTGATGATAGCTATCACTACCGTTAATTGAAAGTATCCATTCATGTAAAACACTTGACTTCTCATCTGCCAGGCGTTTTTGAACCCAGGTGTTGTGTTATGTCATTTCGATGCTGTGTGATCAGGTGGAGGAAAAATGCATCAAATTGAGATGCAATGTTGCCACTTTTCCCCAACAGCTCTTAAAGAAACCAGACAAGCATTTAGCCTCATTATTAACGGAAATGAACTAACTTAATAACTGTTTTCAAGGGAAACTTTTATCTGCTGATTACAATTTAGACAGTTAACAACTTATTGTCAAAGACAGTCAATATTCTGGCAGATAAGAAACAAGTTTATTAAAACCAAATTATCAAAATACAAAATATCAAAATAACAGTTTAAATGTTAATAATTCTCCAGTAGTAGCTGATTTTGTATTCCTTTGTACATGTTTGTGCCTGTCTTCTGAGTGTCAGCGTGTCTCATGATGTCTCCTGTTCCAGCATCCTGTGACCTGGCAGCCGTCCAAGGAGGGAGATCATCTCATTGGACGAATCACCCTCAGCAAGAGGAGTGCCGCCATGCCTAAAGAAGCCGGAGCTCTGCTGGGGTTAAAGGTCAGAGAGGACACACATTTATAGTTGTGATATTTTTGCAAACGGCAGTCACTGTTGTCTTCTCTTTATATAACATTAATGTCTCTCTGTCTCTCTCTAGGTGGTGGGAGGCAGAATAACAGAGTCAGGGAGATTAGGTGCCTTCATCACTAAAGTCAAGAAGGGAAGCCTGGCCGACGTGGTGGGACATCTCAGAGCAGGTAGTCTAAACAGTCACGTGTCACACTATTTGCAGGTCTGGACAAAGACTGTAAAAGTCATTATGCTCCAAACATAAGGCTTTTAAAAGCACCATGCAGTGTTTGTTCCATGTTAACTGTTAGATTAAGTTGGGCTGTATTATTAAATAAATTCTGATGGGTTTTTTTTTTTTGGCTGTATGGTTTCATATCTTTAATTAGCTTAATCCAGTTTTCACTTAATTGTGTGTTTCTTCTCTACAATGGCCTTACATAAAATGCTGGATAAGTAATTGAAAGGTTGGCAATATATATGTTTTTCTATCTGTCAATAAATGTCAATGAATCTCATAAAAAGGCCGAAACCAATACTCACTAACACACCAGCTGTGTATCCGTCCTTGGTACTGAGAAGTGGACTAACACAAGTGTTAGTTTTGGTCTTTTGGAGATTTATTGACAAAATGAAACATATAGAATAAAGATGAATTATCCTTAGAGATGTGTATGCACGTCTGATTTCAGGGGATGAAGTTTTGCAGTGGAATGGGAAGCTTTTACCGGGGGCAACCATGAAAGAAGTTTACAACATCATCCTGGAGTCTCAAGCTGAGCCTCAAGTGGAGCTGGTGGTATCCAGGCCTATTGGGTAAGTCAGGAATAAAACACTCTCTGTACGCCTGACAGCGTTGTATGTAGGTATTTGTGATACCCTTCAACCCTTCAGTTATAAGTCAGCAGGGTAACCATTGAATTCAACCAGGCAGTGTTGACTGAGGCTCTGACTCAAGAGTTGGCTGACCTCAGATAAGATGTGAGACAGGGACGTGTATTTGTATTCTGACGGCGACTGTGCGACTGCATTCAAAATATTAAAAATAGCCAGCCACTACCTGCTGCAGGAGTTGCCAAGTTTTCGGAACAAGAGATTTCCATTTTGTCCCCTTTAAAAAAGCACTTGTGTTTATTTCTAGGATGATATAAGGTGAATCGTTACTGACAAAGTAAAATCGACCGTAAACTCTGTAAAAAAGACAAGAGGCTTTTTTAGTTGATGCCTTTTAAAAGCTCAACTGAGACGGTCATGAACAGTGCAGCAGGTTGGTCTGCAGCTTGAAAGAATGCCTCAGATTGTATCCTAAAATGTGTTTAAGTAAGTCAGGCAGTGGTTGATATGTCCTCTAAAATTCAGCATCCTCATTTGGATTACATTGATTTATGCTTTTGAGAAATGGATGTAGTTTTTACTAGCTTATCAAGCTGCTTTAAATTGAATGAAGTAGACGTTTTAATTTGTTTTAAGTGGTGGAGTGTGCTGTATTTAGGAAGTATTACATTATCCCCTTCAGGCAGGAAATATACAATATATATGCAGCTCAACAGCCTCATCACTTAAACGATGCTTTCTCTTGATCTAATTCTGTGTAATGATCTATCTCTGGATATCATTTGTTTAAATGTCTTGAAGTCACAATTACTGCAGTATATTTATTGCTGTTGATGATAATTTGTGAAAATGCATTAAGTGTTTGCGAGCAGGTTCAAACTACTGTAGAATAAATCTAATTTGTGTGTGTGAGAGACATTTGGAGATGTATTTAAATGAATCCACAGCCTCAGTTATAGAGATAATAGCTTGTTTATTCACTGTGATATTTGGACCCATTCAACGTATCTCACTCTACTTCAAGAGACAATATTATGTATCCTATAGTTTATTTTACAGGTCAGTAATTTTCATATTATATCCTAATCATTTCTTTGCAAGTTTCCCTGATAAACTAAAATTTGTGTTTAATTGTTTGGGAAATAGACACTTAAATAAATATTAATTCATCATTCATTTCTAATTGAGACTGTTGCAAATTTCACATTTTTGCATGTCAAGCTGACCTGCTGTGCACCGACTTAAAGTGACTTTTGCACACAATCAGTTGGAAGATTTTTAGTTTTAGTTTTTTCATTTGCCATTAGTGATTGGTAACAAGTAACATAGTCCTGAACACTCCAGCGAAATGATTAGCAGATCACATGGACCCGTTAAGTAAAACACTACAGTTTCTATACCTAAAATAAGAATGTCAAATAGGACATGAATTATAAGACGCAGTCTAAATTACAGTGTGTACATTCACATGCTGCACTCTGAATAATTTACTCATTCTTCATTATGCACCTTTATTTTTATTTGATCTTACTTTTTTCAGACTTCTTCAGAATTTTAGGTTTGCTTGATAACTCTTCAGGATAATCTTGTCAAATAAAACACTTAGTTACAAGTTGTGCTTCCATATGTGTGATAAACTATTGTTGTAAGAGAAGTCCTTTTAATGGGTTTAAGATTTGACCTCATTTGCTCTTTGATGGGGAAAAAAAGTTGAATGTATTAATTTCTCTCCAAACACTCGCGAAGGGTGTATAGAAAATATCAGTAAGTAATCTGCCCCTTTTATTAGGACCCTTTGATCCTCTCACGCTTATGGAAACAATTTTGGTTTTGCTGGTACCATTTTGCATCCCTAAATGAACTGAATCCCATTTAGCAGGGATTGCGGCAACTGAACATTGGCTTTTGTGAATATAGCTCTGATTTGTCATCTCCTATTAAATCAAATTGAAAGTTCACTTGAAGGGATGCAAAATGGCCAATGGGAAATGTCCATCAGTGTAGCATTGCTTTTGCAAGCTTTTTAAACTGTTTGTGCAACGTCTGGAATTCCTCTTTTTCATTCCTGGTAAAGTCTGACGATCCCAAAGTGAAATCCAGCACTTACAGTGTCAATTAAGAATTGCTTATTTATTTTTTCTCTTTAATCTCTTGGTTTGGAAGTTGGGAAATTGGGATTCATAAAGCAAGCAATTTTTTTTAATTTCATTTACATTTTTCAATTTTTGATTTTGGAATGGGCAACCTAGGGTCCATGAAACACTTATCAGTTTAATATTTGTTTTTAAAAGCAAATGTTGAAATATATAAAAACTTGAAACAGTTCAACATTTTGGGAGATTATTTGCTTTCTTTATGTGTGAAATGAGAAGATGGACATCAATCCCATGTTTTTTTTATGTTAAGTACAACACTGGAGCTGAGAGGCGATTAGCATTGCTGCTTTCAGACTTTATGCTATGCTAAGCTAACCATCTCCCCACTCCAGCTTTGTGCTTCAGAATCAGTTTTATTGCCAAGTAAGTTTTCACATACAAGGAATTTGCCTTGGTATATTGGTGCATAATGATAAACATAGAAACATATGAATAAAAATTAAATAAAAATTTGTACAAATATAAAAAGAGACAATATGTCACACAGACGTTTCAGTGGTACCATCTTCTCGTGTAACTCTCAGAAAGAAAGTGAATATATGTAAATGACCAAATGTTGAGCTGTTACTTATGAATCTATGATAAAGAAAAAATCATAGAATATCAGTTTGTTGCCCCATGGGTAACCAAAGAAACCCCTGACTGGTGGGGCTGCAAATTTAAAATACTGAAGTTTTTCCACCTTTTACATTTTGAAATTCTGACAAATGAAGCTGATAAGTGTTACACAGATTGCCATGCTTTCTTTATATTACATGAAGCTGGTGCCGTGGATTCTGGTGTTTCCCATGGGACCTTTTAATTGTAGTGGTGGTGATGGATAAGAAATTATGATGGTGTGAACAGAATTGAGCTACCGGTTCCATCCATTATTATTTCCGATGATCATTGGCCAGACTAAAATGTCTGAGTGAGTCTGGGAAACATTGCAGTCATGAGAAGAACTTTGCTCTACTGACATCTTCCCTTTGCTTCTCCATGTTTAACTACACGATATTTGAATCTCCAAATAACTTTGAATTACAGTTTCTTCCAGTAAACTACTACTACATTTATATGCATGTGTGCCTGTGCATCGAGAACACTACTAACTTTGTTCAGTCCAGCTAGAGGCCAGTACGAGAGTGACTGACGTGATCTCTGCTGCTTCTTTTGCAGTGATATCCCAAGAATCCCCGACACGTCCCACCCTCCATTAGAATCTAGTAGGTATCTCTGTATTTTTATCTCTGTCTGCCTGATTGTTATTGAAGTTATTTTTCTTTAGGAGGAAGCTTTGTGGGAATGTTTATTTAATTTTTTTGTACAGTACAGTTTGTTCAGGTTCATACATTAACATAGTCTCAGGATATTTTATGCACAGAAATACAATAGAGATGACATATAGACAGAAGTTTGATTGTGTGTTAAACCTCTGTGCTGATTAAAGTTAAAATGTATTTAAATGTATTTATTTTCGAGAAAGAAATCTATGTTTATGTGTCACCCATGGAGCTGGAGCCAGGAGGTGATTAGCCTAGCTTAGCATCGAGACTGGAAACAAGGGGAAACGGCTAGCCAAGCTCCGTCCAAAGTTTGAAAATACATCTATCAGCCCCCCTAAAGGACTAATTATCACTTTGTGTCTCATTCCTGCCATCTGCACACAAACTGAAATGTATAAACACTCATTTTACACAGTGGGGTGCAGTGAGATCCTAAAAAGACATTGGATTATTGAGTATTCATTCTTTGTGACTTTAACCAGTAAGGTTGCTAACTGCTAGCTTTGCAGAAAATTCATTATGTCAAAATCTATGACATCAAGAGTGCAGAAAAGGGGGTCAGCTTTAGTCAGTCTTTAAATGATACTTGATCATGAGAGCATAAGGTATATGAGGCCCCAATACTTCTAAACAAAAGCCTATCAGACTCAAAGTAGGTCAGCAGCTTGGCAATTTGTCATCCTGACAGGTTAGCTGTGGAATGGTCTGTTCTCTTTTCATATGAAATTTTCCAAGGAAAGGAACTCTTAATGCTGGACATTACGTACTTGTTTTAGAATTGGACCAGATCTCGTTATCTCACATTTTCCCTCCCACTCTTATTTAGACTTTTTGTCCTTTCTGAAACATTTTTGTCTTCATAGCAGGTTCCAGTTCTTTTGAGTCCCAGAAGATGGAGAGACCGTCCTTAAATGTCCTGTCTCCCTCCAGTCCCGGGATGCTCCAAGATGCTCCGCAGTTGATGCCGGGGCAACTCTCAGTGAGTGTGAGCACTTTGAGTGTGTTGGTGCTGTTGGTGTGTTAAGATGAAGCATCAGATTTGTTTGTGCGTGTGTTTCCCACCCAGGTGAAGCTGTGGTACGACAAAGTGGGCCATCAGCTAAAAGTCAACGTGCTGCAGGCTGCGGAGCTTCCTCTTCGGCCTGACGGGCGGCCCAGGAGCCCCTACGTCAAAATGTACTTCCTTCCTGACCGCAGGTATGCCAGCAACCACTTCAGTCCTAGTAATGAAAATGATTAAAATGGGATCAGAAATTAGTTTTGATGAGTCAGATGGACACAATACTCTCTGCCACAGTAGTTTCTCCTCGAGCTTAGAAGGAGAGCTTGAAGCGATGGAGTTGCAATCAGTTACACTGCTAGATACCAGTAAATCCTCCACACTGGACCTTTGAAGTGGGGTCTGTATGTTCTGTAAAGCATTGATTGACAGTTTTGGGTTTCCTCCTGAAAAAGGAGTAGAGTAAATTTAGATGAATGAGGCACAAGCAAGCTTCTGATTTGTGTGTAGGAAGTTTTTTCTGCACACAGGACAAACAGTAAGTGTGAGTCAACTGAAAAGGGAACTTGGTTGGCTCAGTGTCTGTATTTTCTAACACAGTGACAAGAGCAAACGAAGGACAAAAACAATGAAGAAGACCTGTGAGCCCAAGTGGAACCAGACGTTCGTCTACACTCACGTCCATCGCAGGGATTTCCGCAACCACATGCTGGAGCTGACTATATGGGACCAACCCAGGTCACCAGAGGAGGACAGCACCTTTATGGGAGAGGTACCCCACACACACACATACAAACACACACACAATTTTTTAGTTTCTAGTACAGTATCTAGATGTTTTAAGACATTTTAATATCTTTTTTGCTAATAATTTAGAAACAGAGTCAAAGGGATATTGTAGTTCGACATAAAATAGATGATTATAGTATTAGTGACTAGCTGGTGAACATAGTGGAGCACTTGGATGCTAAAGTTCCAGATATTTCCCTCAGGAGTTGTTAGAGAGCAAACTAGAGGTAAAACGAGAGGCAATATTGGACTTGTCACTTGTTCAAGTGAATTATAATACATTAAAAACATTGACCTGCACCTCTTCTTCTGTGCCAGAACATTTTTGCACTAAATACAAAGACAGCGGGTGTTTAGAGCAGCACACGTAAAAGCTTTCCTGATGTATTTTCATAAACAGCTTCTACTGTCTGTGTTACATCAACCAGCTGCAAAACATTTACTCACTGTGGACTCTGACTCGAGCAGATCCTGATAGAGCTAGAGACGGCCTTACTGGACGACAAGCCTCACTGGTATCCACTCCAAACCCATGATGTCTCATCCATACCGCTGCCCCGAGCCTCCCCTTACCTGCCCCGACGACACACAGACACCTCCGGCAAGAAGCTGCAGCGTAAGTCTGAGTCTGTGAATGCCCTTAATTGTGTATATATATATATATTTTCTGTACATGTGGTACCTATGTCTCTGTTTGGTGTTGGCGTTGTGTGTGAGTGTGCGTGCATGCATCACTATGAGAGAGAAAGGTTTGTGTGTGGTTCACTATCAATGAGCAAAGTATGTCAATGTCTCTTTTCACTACCCTTCCCTAATACTGCATTTGTGCCTGGATACGTGCATGCGTATATGTGTGTGTGGTGTATACACATCTATGTGTGTCTGTGTGTGTGTGTGTGTGTGTCTATGACTGTTTAGGTTCTCAGCGTGTTACAGAGCCTGAATTTGATGAGGGTACAGCAGTAATGTCTAAAGGTGGGTGGGGATCGTTTCCTAGCATTACATTTAGTGTCTCTCACAAACTGTTCTTATTTGTGGTGTTGTCATTGGGGTTGCTTGGCTGGAACAGGGGGCATGGGATCGCTGTTAAATTTTCTATGGAATACATTTTATGCTAAAATGTATTCCATAATTTTGTGCATACATGACAAGAAGCCCTTTCACTGGTAAGCAAAGGTTGCACCAGCTGACAGAAGCTAAAGAAAGGATCAATTAGGATCTGAAAAATTGTTCATTTGTTTTGTTGAAATTAAACTAGAAATATATCCGTCCTTCTAGGACTTTATGCGCTTCTTTTGGGGTTGTTGCAGCCTAAAAGGCCTGATTTCACTGCAGCTTTTCTAAAAAACGTGTGTTGTGATGTTTTATGACATTGTTTTGCAGAGAAAGTGAGGATTGCAAAAATAGTTGCAATTATTGTTATTTTTTGTATAATTTGTTGCACATGTCTGCATGGTCTCCATCTTTACAACTAGAAACAAGGTAGTGAGTGTGGTGACGTATGGCTGAACTATTGCGCAGAAACTTCAGTGATTACTCAAATTTGCGGAAAAGTAGCAGTGATAGGACAGAATTGCAAAGTCGTGCAAGGTTACTTTTTGTGATCGCAACTTCCTGGAGGGACTGATATATACAGTAAACTGACCCTAAAGTCTTTACATGACATCAAGTCTTTGGTCACTTAAAAACTGTACTACTGTAAAAATTATACTGTGTGATGGGCCACCACAAATAAATTCCGTTTATGGGGAACACTGTTACGTATGTGTGTCATAGACTACATGTTTGCATGGGGTGGAGAGCATCCAGGCTCCGTGGTCCAATCAGACGTTGTTGTGCCTCAGATGAGCTCTGAAACGGGGCTCATCTAACATATAGTTTGTACACATTCATTTGATAAGCAAACTAAAAGATAAATTGCTACCATGTATGTTGAAACACTCAGCTTTTGTTTTGTGTGTGTATCAGTGTGCTGCTGTAGATGTGTGAGTCTCTGTGTGTTAGGGTTGGACTGATGTATAGAGTCAAACTGAATGAATTATCTAACATTTTCATCAAATACCATTGTGATGCCATAGTCTATTGGCTATTTGACACACTGATGTCAATATCAGCTATATCAGTCAAACCCTATAATGTGTCTGTGTTTCTTGATAATGAATACCCAAATTAAAAAGAGAGACAGAAGGGATGGAAAAATACACCACATCCCTTTTGCCAACTTTTTGTTTTAATTTTCATGCATGGTAGGAATAAATGAAAGACCTTGGTAGTACTTTCCAAAGTGAACCCAATGGCCCACTGTGAGCTTTGAGGTGCTTTTCTCTTGGAAATGAAACCAGCAACCTTGGGACCACAACAAAGCCTGACACAGTCGCACCGATCCCTTCAAGGCTGATCAGTCTCTCTATTTATATTTTTATCTTCAGAGATAGTTCCAAAAAAGATTTATTTTTTATTTTTTACTACATTTGAAAATACAGGGCACAGTAATGAAAAATAGCCAGCTGCTCTTCTATTATTAGGCTAATCTTTAAATAGTTTGCATCCTTGAGACACAATGTCCTATTGTTGTTGTCATACAATATGTTTAATGGTATCAGGTTCCATGCTGATATGTTAGCATGTACACTAAGTTATCTCTTGGTAATCTAAAATTAATCTATATAAACTGACATCTGCATTTGAATGCAGATTCTGAAGGCATGGGACCAAGATTTTGGCATCTGAAGTCTTCTGATTTTGGGTTGTTTTTCGAGTAGTATTGACTAATTACTTTTAAGCAGGTTTTAGCTTTTTTAAATTTCATTATTTTTCATACGCAGATATGTCTTTATAGAGATTAGTCAAAATGTGTCTTTCTCGTCATTCTCGTGTATGAAATTGCTAATCTGATTATTACTAATCTGATTGCTGAGTAGGTCTAAGCCTGGATATCTGTTGCCTGCACCGCAAACCCACAAACATTGTCTGTTGCCCCTATAGGCTAAATTGTCATCAAACGGTAGCCGATGGCTTCCAAGATGATCCAAACCCAGTGCAGGAATGGCGGACCCCGCCATTACCAATAAAAACTAGATGGAGAAATAATTACTGAATATAAATACCTTGAGTTATTATTGATACCATAAATAGTTAATGAACATTTTAGGGAATATAGTTTTCTACTTTCTGATATATTTGGGCATCTGCATGAAGATAATTTATATTCTGCACTATTGTAAAACTTAATGTGTAATTGTTGAGGTTGTTGTAGATTTTGCTTCACTGTAAATCAACTACAGATCGGGGCTCTAATGGCCTACACCTTGTACACCTTCCTTGACATTTTTTTACATTTATTCCTTAGCACACATTTACTAACGAGAGTGTGAATCTTTGTTTGTGTACGTGCACGTGTACATTCGCACCCAGCAGCGGATGGGCGTGGCAGAGAGAGGCAGCGAGAGCCCACGTCCACCCTGGAGGTGCCGGACCAGCAGAGGACGCCCACCCATCACATACGTTCCCGATCGGTCTCCCCGCACCGTGAGGAGCAGGGACGGATCCGTTCACGGCCAGCCAACATTCCCACCCAGAGGTGAGGGTTAAAGGATGAGACAAGATTTTATTCTTTAAGGAACAAAATGCCAAATTTGAACAGTTGCGCATTCTTTTACATGAATCAGTTTGAGGAACAACAGGACTGAAACCCTCCTGTAAGCTTAAAAAAAGGCTTTAAAACAGACATAAATTTAGCCTTTTAAGGAGAGTTGAGGCTACGGTTCACAGTGGTTGTGATGAATTCCAGACGTCACAAGTTTATGCACATATAATACACGTCTTTGCTGCCCATTTGTGTATTTAGTATGCTTTAATTGGTCATATTTTAGTCAAAATATGTTTTAATACGCTGCTTTGGTCTCCTACTGTAGTGACACGGCTGTGTGATAGGGTTGAGGTTTAAAATCAATAACTGTTCAGAGGTGGAAAGCATGGCCTGACGTCTGATAATGGATACTAATAAAGGACCAACCTGGTGAGGAGACATTGGTCACTTGTAAGAGGTAAAAGCAACATGGTAGTGCGAGAGTGGAGGAGTTTGTTGGAAGCCGGCAAACAGAGTCCATCTACTAATGAAATGTCTGTCTGATGCAGAACACGCAGTGCTGCCAGCTCTGCTTTTACTGGCCGGGCCAAATGAGCCTCGCCAAGAGTCTGCCGCAATACCGTCCGACCACTAACCTGACATAAGTCTTTCTTTCTTTCCTTTCTCCTTTCCTATCCTTTCTTTTTAGGAGTCTGGATGATGAGCTTCCTCACACTCGTCGTTCTCGTTCTCCAACCCGCTACTACGACGCTGCCCGAGGTCGCCACCAGGAGGACGAGTACCTGGATGACAGGTGTGTGTGTTTGTGTGTGAGCACCACTTGTAATAACCAGTTAGACTCAATGTTTCTAGTGTTTGTCAAATAAAGTGACACTGTGATTTTTTTGTGTGTGATGTTATTTGTTGGTATGTGACGGCAGATATTGTGCAAAACTGTGTGACTGCAGTAGAGATTCTGTTTTTAACTCTAAGAGTGAATGCCAGTCATGAAACTTCCTAAAATAAGTTTTTTATTTATTTAATGAAACTGTTATTTTCATTTATTATATTTTATAATAATAATAATAATATAATATATTTTCCTGATTTAGTTTTTCCACCTTTCTTTCACTGAATTTCCCCTTTTCACAGCTTGATCAAGTTTGTTGCAGTAGCTATCCGTTGATTTTCATAAAGTGACTTTAGAGCAGTGTTAAGAAAATGCGGCTTTGGTTGCAAAAATCTGTGGCTTTTCTGAGTGTGTGTGTGTGTGTGTAGCAATCAGCGACACCTTCTCTTTCCTATTCACCCTCTTCTCCTTCTGCTCTTGTGGTTTTTTGACTGTTGTTGATTTCCTCATGTGTCATCCATCCCCATGGTAACCACAGTGAGGTCATCATGATCCACCAGTCAATGCGAGGCAAAAGTGCAGAGTGCCTCCACACCAGGTAAACTGGCCAAGCACAACATATTTTTTTTTACATTTGGGTTCTGGTTCAGTTGTAGTTTTGTTTGCGTAGTGTTTCTTTCTTTTTTCTTTTTTTTTTATCAGATTGTCTCTGAATTGTTAAATCAATCATTGAAAATAGTCTTTAAATAAGGGATGAGAAAATACCAGCCTCTTTGACTTTGCTGTAGAAGCAAAATAAGTGTTGTGAAAGTAAATTGTGTGTCATTTGTGTGTATACAGTCTAATGGTTACATAATGTTCTTTTTCAAAACGCACTTAAGTAGAAGTCAAATTGTGGGCTGGACTGTGGCGATAGTTGAATTGTTTTATTATTGTCAACAAATCCTATGAAAAAATACCAGCACTGTCTTCAATGTCCATCCCCTGTCTGTGGCTCTGAAGCCCATTTCTTTATATGGAAAACTGAAATCTTTAAAAACTGGTCAAGAATATGTAGTTTTCTTTTAGAAAAAGAAAAGGCAAAGATCCAACTGGGCACTGTAGTTTTTAACAAACATTACTCAGACAGGTGTAAATACTTTCTGGGGGACTATTTTCAGCTGCGTATTAATCCATATCTGGTGCTCTAGGCAGTTGGATGGTGAATGTGGGATTGAGTCAAAATGAACTACAGGATTTGTTGACAATTTGGAAAATACAGACCATAATCAATCACTGACTTGACCATATTTTCCCCGTAATTTTGGGAAATGTGGACAGTCAGGGAAGTAGCAGGTGGGGAATAAGCAAGGAAAGGTGTTTACTGACATTTGATGATATGGCATGTTATGAGGGGAAATTCAATGTATAAACAGGTAGATTAGATTGAGGAAAGGAAGCCACAGAGATGGTTGTTTAGTTGTACTTCTGCCTCAGATCCACAAGAGGACACTACAGGACCACCCTTGCATTCAGACTGTGCTTCATTCTCAGCATGCTGCCATTCTACAACCAAGCTAACAGTATGGCTGGCTAGGGCTAGAGTCAACACCAAATGTTTGTTCAGCGACTTTGTTATGAAAGGATCCATCAAAATTTACTCTTGGCCCTCCAGAAGAAATCAAATACCAATTCTGTCTTTTCCTCTTGATTAAAATTATTCAGAGGCCTTTTCTTTGTTTTCATATCCTGACACAGTTTGAGATATCAAGGCTTTTGCTGTCATTTAACATTTGCGTGTCAGACGTACTGTAGTCACCTTCACATGGGTCTTAAATTGCACTCAGCCAAAAATAGGTAAGTTACACGCTTGAGAACACATCTGTATGTATAATTAGAGGCTCCTCCTCATACAACCATACCTCTTACAGAAACATAACAATCCAGTAACACTTTCTATTTGTACTTTGTATACACATGGATGTGTTTGCGGTAGAGGGGTGTTTTTAAGCGTGTCAGTAGAGATGAGAGCCGGCTTTTGTTGCTTGTTTGCCCGTCACACGGTGCTGTAGTTCTACTTGCTTACGCTGCAAAAACCTACAAGCTTAGCCAGTGATTTTTGCAAGGAATGCACTGTTTAGAAACATGTCAGACGACAATATGACTGCAAAGACATAACTCACAGTACTGAAATGTGAAACTTACCTTGCTTTTGAAAATGGAATAAATCAGCTCCGAATAAGCTTAATAACATACTGCAGAGTACATGAAATCACTGGATAAGTTGGCACCTTTCTTTGACCTATAAAACTTTCTGTCTTTGCAAACAGTCCCACACACTTGTTTTTTTCTCCTCTTCCGCCCATTCCTCCCATTATCCTACTTCCATCTGCTGCATGCATGCTAACATCAGGAGATCTACTAGGCACAATAACACACTGCCACCTAAGATGCCACTTTTGTTCAACGGTATCCACAAACACACAAACAGGTAAGTCCACAGTTATGGGCTCAGTATGCTTCAACAAACAAAGTGTTTATACCCCGACGTGGTTTTCATTTCTTTAAACAATCTCCTCAGTGTAACTTAAAGATCTAATATATAACATATCCGCATTAAAATGTCTATAAACGCTGGACCTGTGTGGTATATTTTAGTATAAGTGGTGTACTCACATTATCCCACAATGTTCAAACACCGAGAAATCTGTCCTTTTATTCAGGTAAAAGTATGTTTCTGTGCTTCTCTCTGGTTGCTATAAGTCGGCCGATGTGACCAAATGTAACGTGAATTAAACTTTAACTTTCCGCCTGAGTCACGTCACATAGATTTTCATCAGCAGTTGTGGAGACGGCTCTCATGATCCCATGCAACTTCACAATGTCATCAAACTTCGTCTTCTGTTATTGTTTTCATGTGAAAGCAAGTAGAAATTACATATTGTACACTGAACTTAGAAACATGGGACTCTCCTGGATAATGTAACAATTCTATTATTATGTTATGACCAACAATTCTAATTATTTCCACTATTCCATTATTTCCAGCCTCTGCAGCCTTTGCTATGAGTCACCTAAAACTGTCTATGAGGAAAAAAGACTTCTTCTCATCATCCTCGTTCAAATCAAGTCTTTTGCGGGCCTACGCAATGAATTGTGATAAAGTGATAACGGGGCACAATTTTGGAGAGTCTCTTCTTAAGTTCAGACCCAGCCTACTTTTACACACCCAGCCAATGGCTGCTTGAAGAGGGCGCGATTGTCTCTGTTTCGGAAAGTAACAAAAATTGACGCAGTATCGCAAAGTGTTTAGACAATTCAACCAGCTCTGTTTGAAGCATACTGAGGCCTTTAGACTCTCAGTGGTGCCAGTATGAACTTTTCCTAAAAGCACACAATCCTTTTATTGTAGTAAATGTTAATAATCTCCGATATGAGAGTTGGGATATCTGCCAAACTGTTCATATTTATGGTAGAAGACACGAAAGCTTGCGATCTATATAAGCCTGTGGACTTCCTTTTATGTAAGTATTTACTACAGCAGCAGGAGCTTCACATTTGTTTCCAATCTGAACTTCCTTTTCTTCATTTTGTTTCGTTTGCAAATGCATGCTATTTTTTTTTTTTAAATTTTTATCTTGTGACTAGTTCCTCGCTGCCTGCATGTCGAAAGATAAGCTCTGTCGTGGGATCGCACGTGGTCATGGCAACGCGCTGCTCCATCACACACCGCGTTGTAATGTTCACAGATGAGGTGACAGTTAGGTAAGACACACACATACATGCGTGCAGATGATTATTGATGGGTAAACATATGAGCCTAACTCGTGCCAGGTTGGTAGGATAGTGTAGAGAGCAGTCCAACCTTTGCCATGACAATCACACCGTACTCCATCTTCATGAAGAATTACAAACTCTCCCATCCTTACGCCAGCCAGAAAAGTTAGGGTTTATTCCTCAGACTAGGATTATGATTTTGGGAATCTAACCGAACTTTCTTTTAAAACATTTTTTCTGTTTGTCCATTCTTTTTCTCTTTGTGTTTGTTTCTGTCCTCCTCCTGTCTCCTCCATTGGATGGCATGTTGTGCTGTGGTGCCTCTAGTGATCTGCAGCCTTCTCTGGACAGGGTTAGGAGCGCTAGTGCCAACTGTCTGACTCCAGACAATCATGCCCCCTCACCAGAGACTGAAAGGTACCAGCCTCTGTCCCCACCACCCCTCCTGTAGTGCTCCAGTAGTCTCTTATCCTTTACCTTTCCTGGTCTTTGCAGCGCTTTCCCCTCTGAATGGTCCTACACTAGCTTCTCACTCTACCCAGACCCCATCGCTGTACACCACTCTACTCTTCCTATCTGCTGGGACTGTTGTTCTATCAGTAGTAATACTTTTATTTGTTCAGTTTTAGAATTGTTTAACTCTAGAAACATTTTGACAAATTTCATATCATTGATGTATGACTATCTTGACACCTTCATCAGCCCATCAAAGAATGAGCACTGAGAAGTGCGATTGGCACCAAAACAACCACATTGGTGCACCTTTTCTTGTGCACCTTAGCTTAATTGCTCTATCAAAAGATGAATCACTTCACCAATCAGCCTCCTTTATGTTTACTTTACACAGTCCAGTCATTGGTAAAATACATGATGCTTCTCATTTGTTAGCTTCAATCCTTATGTAATACCAGTAATACCAGCATGACCTTTCCCAGTGTCACCAAGGTCTATTTATTAAGACTGAATTCTGAGAACAGCCGTCCTGCTTGATCCAAAGAGATTTCTGGTGCCAGTGCTGCTTTCACGATGAACCATCACCCACAATGTAATCAAAATACCTTAAAGGATAGGTTCCAATTTATTCAAGTCTGTTTTATTACAGTCCCCCTATGCCATATATATGTTGAAAGAGGTGTGGCTGGCTGTATTCATTCATCCTGTCCATACTAGGTGGGGAAGTGATTCGTAGTGTGACTACACTGTAAAAG